AAGTTTTAATCCCAATTATAAATTTTTACTTCAATTTTAAATTTAAGGACTCTCCTTTGCATTGAATTGCCGGGGAAGGACTAAATATCTACCGGCCTCGAGCTGTGAATTGAGATACGAGAACATAATAATAAATAGCATAAATGCATCGACATAAATTCAAACTAGAAAAAGGTCCGAATAATTAAAACTGGAAAAAGACGCAATTATAAAAAAACAGGAATTTGGTTTAAAAAAAAAATTAAAAAAATGAGAGAGTCAAAAAAACGAGAAAGTTAAAAAAAATGAGAGAGAGTTAAAAAATAAAAAAAATAAATAAATAAAAATGAAAATTTGAAATACATGCATATGAATATCTTGAGTACAATTAATAAAGAATTTGAAACATAAATTACACGATGAAATAAGAAATAAAAAATAATAAATAATAAATTATGGTAAAATATTAAAAGAAGCCGTCAATAAACAAACATATTACGGACTCAGAGGCCTGCGATAGTTAAGAGATTGAATTTCGGGACCTTTCCGTATGAAGCCTGGCTGGTCTAGCGGTAAGTTACTGGACTACAGATTGCAACTTCATCCCGAGGCGTGGGTTCTATTCCCGACTAGGGCGGCGCGGATTTTAAGGTAAGTCACAACTCTACGATCGATCAACCATCGAAGGAACGTTAGTACCAAATACATCACCTAGAGTGCGCGCTCTCTAGGTGCTATATTTGTGCAATATTTTCAGAACATTGATTATTTTTAAATTGATCAACTGATCAGATATCTACTGATATCAACTGACGTCAACTGACAATTTCCACTGACATCAACTGATCAGATACCTACTGATGTCAACCGGTTTTTCCGCACCAAAACACGGTTGACGGTCAATTGATAACATCTCAACTGATCATTTTTACCAGGGATTCTTCTCACTTGTTAAGGTGTTTGTGATTTACTTCTAGAGATTTCACTTTTCTTTTAATATTTATATTTGAATGCGCACATAAGTAATTAGTGAAGTGTCAAGATAATACTCCTGAGTGTAGAACCAGTGTAATGCTAGCATTACACTCGTGAGTGTATAGCTAGTATGATGCTAACTATATACTCGTGAGTGTATAGCTAGTATAATGCTAGCTATATACTCGAGAGTGTATAACCAGTGTGATAATAGCATAATGCAATTCTGTGTGCTAATCACATTATGCTAGCTATACACTCATTTTTAGCAGGGTTGCTACCAAAACCAGTCATCGACAGCACACTGCACTTCTGGGTCAGTTGTAAACTGCTGGCATGGGAAATTTTCCCCCATGTACTCCATACCCTCTCGATTTAGTTCGAGGAGACTTTCATCTGTTCCTTGAGTTAAAAAACTTCCTCAGCGGAAAACGGTTTGCAACTACAGATTCTGTAAAGCAGTGCGCTGTCGATGACTGGTTTCAGCACTAAGACAATAGCTTCTATGGGAAAGGCATCCAGAGGCAGCTACATCGATACCAGAAATTTCAGGACAGAGGTGGAGACAATACTATCGAATAGTGAGATAAGGTCTACCCTAAGTTCATTTTTGATGCGATGCTTTGCGGCAATAAACCGAGTTTGAAATAATCGACTCTTCACGCACCCACAACCCTGGAGGTAGGCACGCGGTGACACGTGGCACTATGGTCCCAATTCACTTTTCAGTGATCAAAAATCATAGCGGCTCTCCGTTTGAGTATAAATACATTTAAGATATGTTTTCCTCATGATTTTGATGCGCTGAATCCGAATTTGACCTCCGCTTTTCCCTAAAAAATCATTTGCAAAAGTTACTGTCATTTTTTCACATAAATCACAAACTGCCATACGATTGGCTTGTTTATACTTGCTTAGATTGGATGAAAACCATGCGTTCATTGCACATACATGTTCAGTTCATGCAAAATTAAGGACGTTTTAATTTTTTGACACCCCTCCCCCCCCAATTTTTTTTTTTTTTTTAAAGGAAAACTAAACTGAAAAAAATGAAATAGATCTAAAATTCATTTGTGTTTTAAAAATGTCAAAATAATGCTTCAGAGAAGACTTTTCTTTATGTTGATTTGACGGAAAACGCAAATCGGGTACATAACAATGTTGAAGAGCGAGGGTGCAATATTGTCACGTTAAGAAAAATTCAATCAAAAATGGATAAATATTCGGGGAGTAAGAAATTTTACATCAATAGGTACTTTCTAGGATTGAAAAGAGCATTTTTAAAGATAAAACTGCGAAACGGAAAACTTTTCAAAAAATCTCAAAAAGTAGGGGGAACCAATTTTTTTTCGAAACGGTCAACCTCAAAAAGATTCATAGAGGCTACATAAGTGCGTCTCTGTAGATGCAAAAGTGCTTAGCACGTGTTAAGCTTGCAACTATAGGTGTTTTTCAGGGCAAAAAATTGAGTTTTTCTGGGGCAAACACGTTGTCACGTAAAAAATCCAAATTTGGTCGAAAAAGCAGGCGGAAGCAATTATTTTTGGTTCGGTTGCCTTTCTAAGGATCTGCAGAAACGACTTAAAAGTGTCTCTGAAGGTGCCAAATGTCTCAGAATATTTTTCGAGGGGCTTTCCAGAGTTGCAAAACAGTATTTTGAAGGAAACACGCAGATACGAAAAATATTCAAAATTCGTCCAAAAAGCAAGAAGAACCAACAATTTTTGGTTTAAAATCCTTCTTAAGGATTCATAGAGACTACTTAAGCACGTTTTTGGAGGTGTTGCATGCCTCGAAAAAGTTTAAGACGACAGCAGATTGATCGATGGCTAAACTTGCTAAATACTGTTATTTTAGCCACCGACTTATAGGGACCTAGTAAATTCGATTTCTCGAGAAAAAGCAAACCGAAGCACGAAATACTTTTACTGCAGCTTCCCAAGGATGTGTAGAAGCTCCCTAAAGGTGTCTCATTAGGTGACCTTTGGTGACTTTTTTTTAAGATGAAAGTTCGTGGGGAAAATCGGCATTTTTTTCTATGAAAAATAGGTATCCAACTTCTACCTTGTGTGGGATGTGTCAGAATGCCTCGGAGAAAAATTGTAATTAGTGCGTTGCAATCCTCTTAAAGTCCTCTACAAAATGGTATAAGCAAGAATTCTGAGAGACCATTTCATGATTCAGGAGAGGCTCCGAACGCTTTGTTAGAAATAGCCACTTCACGGGTCAGAAAATACGTATCCGACTATTTGCACAGTTTGTGACACTTTCAAAGTGACTAGAAATTTTTTTGAGGTATACTACGTGTAGTTTATGACCCGTAGATACTATATTTATCAATTTTGACTTGAAAAAAACATGTCGTCCAATTTCATAAATATCGATTTTTGAGCGCTCCCGAGCGGATTGGGACCATAGTGCATGGTTGTCTCAGTGAGATCGAGTTTTCCCACGCACCCCTTGACCAATTTTCAAAAACTAGAACTTGTTTCAAAGCTTAGAGTATGCCTAACACTTTTTTTTTCCTTCTACCGATTACGTCTTTTCGTTCGGAAGATTCAGAGTAGGGAACCTTACTGTTCGGACGACTTTGTATTATTTATGAATTGCCGATAGACAGTTGTCCTCCTGTGGTGTAGTGGTTGTAGTGCTTGCTCTATGATGGGGAGGTCCCGGGTTTGATTCCCGGCCAGGTGACCCGAGTTTGATGGTCTCAAACAAGGGTATCTGAAGCTGGCTTGATTAGGGACAGAGGGGGGGACTTAAGGGACGGTAAAGCGCAAGATTATCCCTCGTGGATAATTGAAGTGCACAAAAAAATAAAAGTAAAAAATGTTTAAAGGTTTGAAGTAAATTTCTTTCGGAGGTCTTTGTGCTTACAGAGGTCATTCAAAACAATCAGAAAATACGATGCTTTTAATTAAAAGTTTCTTTGGTAAATTTTAAATGAAAGATAGATTGGCCCGAAAAACTATTTCAGAAATATTTTTACTAAGTCGTTTAGTTTTGAGTTAATCAGTAAATGTAACAATGATTGCAGTGAAATGAATGTGTAAGTCTCAAATCTTACAGAAATTTTTCCAGAAAAATAAAGGTTTGCACAATAGTTTGGCTCAGGAAAGGTTTAAAAAGAATGGAATTAAAAAGTAGATACATTTCATTTGAGGGATCTGAAACTGGGAAACTAGGATTACTTCCTTGCGGAAAAAAATCTAGACGATACTAGGCAACTAATAAAACCAAACGATGATTAAAACAACGAAACAAAAGAGTAAAAAAAAAGTTCAGAAATACCATTCATTTAATCATTCTGATGATTTTTTAAGAGCCACTTGTCAAGTACATAAATTTTAACACGAAAGACTACATACCTGGAATAAACATGCCTATAAAAAGCAATACATTCGAGAGAATGCAGCCTGGCTGCAACAAAAAAACCACAGAGAAAAGCGTGGATCCTGGCAAGGACTACTTCATCAGCAGTAGCGATGCGTGCTAAGTGGATGTCGAACTGGACTCTTGATGCGCTCATACTAAAGCAGGATATTCAAATAGGATCAATAAAAACCAACCCAACTGTCTAGTTAATGGTGGTTTTGATGTTGTTATGGTTTAATAAACAGATAGCATTCATGAAATGACAATAATATAAAATAATAAATACGAAACATTGTAATGTCAAAGATTTATTTTAAAATACGTAATAAAAAATTTTGGTCCTGGATGGACTTGAGCCTTAAATTTTTTGCTCTCCGTACAGATGATGCAACTGTTCAGCCATATGTGCTCTATTTACAAAGGGCGACATTAGCAGAATTTCAGATTTTTGAGTTTTTGAGCACCTGTGCACTGATGATAAAAGCCCAGCTGATCAACTGACCATTTAACTACTCATTTTATATCCGTTCATTCAGCATGCTTATCCTGTTCCTCTCAAATGTCGCCCCTGCCTCTTCAAGGTATGTAGTCTTCCATGGTTTTCATCATTGACTATTGGTTAACTTAGGAAACTACATCTATGTTTAGAGGTACATCATAGGAGCAATTCCAAACCAGTACTGTGCGAGATTTTGAAGATATTTTCAAAGGGTAGATAGAATTATAATGTCTATCCATTTAGCTTTCTGAGAACCCTTCATATTGAAACTAAACGCTGTTTCTTGTTCTCACATATACATTTTGTTACATTTCCATACACTGATCCAAAAGAAGAAAAAAAGGAAAAGTGAATAGAAACAGAAAAAAAAATTGTTGGAAAGTTAAGAGGACTCAGAGTGTTTTTTATCCTTGAAAATAACCTCGTTTGTTTTCAATATAAGGACACCGAGTCAGACCTTCATACCAACTCCCATTGCTAATAATTTTCCTTAAACTAAAAGAGATAATTCACTGGAAACTTGAAGCAGAAAAACTTACCTTTAATTGCATAAAATATCTTTCAATCATATAAATATTAAAAAAAAATTAAAAATATTAAAGCTGTTTGATAGACATAGATACATTTCACCACTTAAATCTTCAAAAAATGTATACAAAAAGCTTTGCAAGCGAAAGAAACCATCTCATTTTGACATTGATTTTGTTAGGGCCAGAAAAATGAATGACTATGAATTGCAACACTATCAAAATGCCTCCACACCATATAATATCTGTAGCAGCGATATATGATTAGATTGAAGCTACACCTCCTGATGGTTAAAATATTTAAAACATGGAAGTAGATAGAAAAGGTAATGTTCCATGGTTGATGAGCGAAAAATATCGACGAGCTCTACAAACAAAAGAAAAAATACGACACCACCAATTATGCAGAAAACAAGTGAAATCTGAACATCATTAATCATAGTTAAAACAACAAAAAAGGTGATCAAAAATTAAACGGCTGATAAGATAAAATTTAAAAAAGCACTCTCACTAGAATACTAAAAATTATTTTGTTCTTACAAACAGCCCTGACAAAAATTCAGATTAGCGATAATGTTCATTTTTATAGATTCTGATATACCTACAAAAAGGAGGCTGGTGTCTGCAGCGGATTTTGATGAAAATTGGGAAAAATGTGGTCCTTAGGAAATTAAAACATGAGGCACTACAGCTCATACTTAGTGGCGGTGAGAAGGCCACAGTGAGTTTGAAAAAACTGTAAATTCTGATCGAGCGATAGGGTCATGCTCATACACCAAATGTTCACAATGAGCGGCCATGTTGTGATGGTGGTCAAGTGGATTGTAGCGCTACATTTCACGGGTCATTTGCCATGTTGGAAGGGCGTTCGATCCTGATTGGATTGAGAGTAATTTGTTGCGAGGGGCACAGGTTTGGTCTCTATGGACATTAGATTTACTCACATCCTCCTAATGTCTATCTAGTCATGTTCAATTACTTATCCGTTTTTCTGGTCTGTTTAGAGGAAAATTAACGTTTTATGACTGAATAAAAATTTTATAGAAAATTCCGATTGGTGAATCTTCCTCTGCTCATGGTTGGGTTTTCCTTAATTTTCGAGGAAAATGTCAAAATAAAGAGGCCTTGAATATGTGTTTGGTGTACAGCAAAGAATTAGAGCAAAAACCCCCTCAACTAAAAACAAACCAACAAACAAAATAAACATTGGCATGAAGAAAAATGCAAAGATGAAAAAGATTTTTTCTTCTTTTGTGTGAGGATTCTTTTCTCTGTAACTCTTAGCATTACGCCTAGTAGAACGTTCTGAGCCCCTTTTTTGAACTTTCAGGGGACACTTTTAGAAACAGGAGGAGACCATGTCATGAATAAAAGACAGTTGACAATAACAGATTATCATTAAAATGGGATTATTTAGGATTATAATACATTGATTTTCCTTACAAAAAGGCAGCAATAACTGACGAGTAACTAAACTTGACAGAATGGAAGTTGAAAATACAGAAAATAAATCTCATGTTTCTGAGGATCCGAACCTTGTCCTACGCTGCAAAAAGTTTGCAAAACATAACACTGTAATATACTTGCTGACTCCCACAACACGACTGTTTGTAGCAAATATGCATCTAGTTGGTAGAGTGACCCGTTAGCTAGCTTAAAATTTACAATTTTCGAAGATTCACAACAGCTTTCCTACAGCCCAGTGATGCGTGAAGTTGTACCACATCTTATAGTTTCCCAAGGATTACATTTTCCTATAAAAATTTCATCAAAATCAGACGCAAATTCTTGGAGTTTCCTCCTTGTTAGTAGCTGTAAAAAATGGCTCCCTCACAAGGGAACTTAAAAAATAACTGTTCTTCTGATGTAAATTTTCGATGCTGGAAGATAAAGCTACGATTTTAGATGAATTCAAAAGTAAACTTAAAAATGCATGAAGATACAAACTTCCAATTGTCTTGATTGATTTCCTAATGGACAGAGAAGTAAATAGGAAACGTCAACTTCCTCTTAGTGCTGTACAAAATTGAGTAAGAGAAGTTGGATGAAAATTCACCTCATATAATGAAGTTTTTATACACAAGAATAAAACAAAAAAAGATAATTCCTATTGTTTTTCTGATATTACTGTGTGAGCTTTTTTGTTGGGAATGTCCCGGCTCCAAGTGATTTCCTAAATGGAACCTAATGATCCTCCTGAACCAATTAATTTACAGGTTGTCCCAAAGTTCGATCCACCCCCTCTAAAATTTTACCTAATTTATATTTTGAAACGAGACTTTGGGCATGTTCATTCCTTTTTTCAAATGCCCCCCCTCCCTCTTGCGATAGGTACCTCAATCAAAAGAGGGGGAAAAAAATAGCGCCTACTGCAGTTCGCCATTTTGACTTTGGACAAAACAGCAGCTGGTCAAAGCTCGAAGTACAGCTAATTCAAATCTCCCAAGATTCGAGTGAAACTTGTTGGGTTTTCTGGCAAGAGAAAAGAGAAGTTGGCATTCGTTTTCGGCATTTCGGAAAAAATGAATTTTTTCGAAATGGTGGGTAAAAACATGGCGGTCAACAGGAAAACAACAAGTATCTAAATTGCTTACCCATGGATTTGCATTAAAGTTGGTATCAGGGGTTGTTTGGTACAAGAAACTCGAATCCGGCGTTGGTTTTTCAAAACGCCCTTTTAGGTGGCCACTGACGAAAAATGAGTAATTGGGCAATATATTAGCAGTTTCCCTTAAGACTAATACCGAATTCGGTTTTCTCGTGCCAGAGGACCCCCGCGTGCCAAGTTTCACCCAAATTTTGGGAGATTTGGATTTGCCATTCCTCGAACTTTGACCGGCCGCCGTTTTGTCAGAAGTCAAAATGGGGAACTGCAGTTTGCGCGAATTTTTTTAAATTATTTTTTGATTGAACCGTCGCAAAAGGGGGGGGGGAATTTGAAAAAAGGGAGTCAGAGTCCGGAGCTCCCTCTGGGGGTCCCCGAAAATTTCGGTGGGCTGGAAAAGTAGCTAACATTGATTCATGAACATGCCCAATGTTTCGTTACAAAATATGCATTGGGTAAAATTTTAGAGGGAGTGGACCGGACTTTTCCAGCACCGTGTATGTGAAATGTTCACTTTCGACCAAGCAGACCGACATCTTCCACCTAGATCATTACAGGCAAGACAGTGAGTCACAGTTTTATTTTTAGGGTGAATATGTAGGGCAGAAATACATTGTTTATGCACAGAAAATTGACTGACAAAATCTTTTAGAGCTGCTCACTCAAGAGCTCTTTTGTGCTGCTCTTTCCAAGCTGCTGGTTTGTTTGTTTTTTTTTAAAAAAAAAACAATTACTGTGTGCTGAGTGATTGGTATGAATCTGCGGACAGATGCACAGGACATCGTCTAGATCAAAATACTAAAAAAAAATCCCTTTAATCCATCATACTTACTTTTTCAGCACAAGTTCAGAGAATGCAAGTATTAGGAGGGGCATAGGCTATGGAGTGTGCCTAAATTTTTGTCCAACTACTATTCCCAGACAGAATTCAAGGGTGGTTGGTTTTTTATGTTCTATTTTTCCCTCGAGGAGAAATCAATTGACTGATTGAGAAAAAATTAACTTGCCTATTTGAATGTGCTTTTGAGCCTACTTGTGAACAATATAGGAATCTGAGCTTCCTTCTAAATTGTTCAAAAGTGACTGCAAAAAAACGGTTACTTCAACAACTTATAAACTAGAGCAAATATTTAAAAACTCAAAATATTTCACCAAAAGCCAGAATGTTTTGTCTTTGTTTTTTAAGTTAAAGTTACGAGTGTAAATAGAACTTTGTACGGAAAAACATCTTACCCACTACAAAAACAGAAAACGCTATGTAATTTCAACCATAACTGGAAGTTATACAATATAAACACAACTTCAATTCAATTTAATATTGGTAAATTGACCATCCTTTATGTGATAACTTTTAATCATGTTAAAGATACTTGCATTCACTGTATTAAAGATGCAATAATTGGACATATTTGTACTAAAAGGAACTTTTGTACTAAAAGGAGCTATAGGCATAAGATTTGCGAGCTACAGAGTTTCTTTTAGGATAAATACATCCGATTCACTATGAAAAAAAAAAAATGTAGGTCTGTCCTTCAAAAATTAGAATTTCTCGATTTTTTCTTAATTAAATATCCCATTGGAGGAATTTAAATATACTTTGGATGGGGAAATTTACATGCTAATTAAAATTCTTCATTAAAAGATAATACATGAAGTTTAATTTGCGAACGTTTTTGGCGGCTTTCACTTTGAATGCAGATTGCACTTTTAATGCAGAATAAAATAAAAGTTGGAATATTTTTATTTATTTCTTTATTTTTGTTTATTTTATTTATTAATGTTTTGGGGCTGATTCCTTATGTTTTTTCCTGTTCTTCTCATTTTGTATTTTCTATTAGTTTTGGTTTTCCTTTCTGAATGTCTTTTAACTTTTTGGGTTGGTTTAATTTTAATAGGAAGTCATTTTCTCACAGACACTCTGCTTACTACCGCCACGCTGCCGTTGTTGACATGACGATTTCTCGTTTCAGGTTAAGTAAGTTCTTTGTGAATGTTTCGTATCCTATAGGTATAAATCTATATCGTATTCTGATTGAAAAGCTTAGAGAATTAAGAACCATGGGTATGAATCTCAAACAAATTACAACATAATCTCCAATTAACCAACAAAAACACACCGCCAACGCGACGCCGCCGTGTATTCTTCCACTACGCATTCCGCCGCCATATTGATCGTGACGGGTACATTCGAAACCTACGAGCGCGCGGTTCTAACGCCGTTTTGGGCCACCCTAATTTTTGGCACTTTCAAATAAAGTTTTCTTCCGTTTGCAGTCATAAAAAAAAATTTAGGAAAAAAACTGTAAGCTTCGGTCACTTACTACTTTTGAATGACACAATAAAAAAAAATGACTTGACTGACTCATTGCCAAAATCACAGACCTACTATTAATTGTGGCGGTGTCATTTGTATTTTTGCAGTACAAATTGCTCCCAATATTGGAAATAAAAATAATTTTTAGTCAGGCAAACTATAGTGCTATGGACGCCTACCTCTACAGGTAACCTTTGTTACCTGCAGCTTCCTACCAAAATGAACTTGCCGATTTTTACCTATTTTGTAAAAAACTTACGCTTATTAGACACGGTAAAATTTTTTTTACACACAGCGGGCATAGCAATTACCACCATGTAACATTGGAAATCAGTGCAGGTCATTTATAGACGCATACATTTATACTTGTAGGAAGAATTGATAGACACAGAATTTTGAATGAAAACAAAGATAATAAAATAGATTTTTACAGCTTCTAGGGGAATTCTCAGGAAATATACAATGAAGGGAAATACAAATTAGGCGTGATAAAAAAATAACATGTAAATTATTCATAACAGGAGGAGGGATGAAATTAATACTATTATATTTAAAGCTGCACGAGTAAAAGGATCTTTGCTGGGAGAGAATGATCTACGATGATGCAATTGTTCTGAAAAAAAGAAGAGGAAAGATAAGCAGGAGTAATTAATGTTCAGACGACAATGTTTAATACACTGACTGCCACGCCTGCCAGTAGCATGGGATACTTTCAATTAGTCTACTTTGAAGTCCTTGCTTTCTGCCATGGGCTATTTGTGAGCTTTCATCTGAAGCAGAGGTTCAAAGGTAGAACACTGGCTTTTGTGTGATTAGTTACTACGATGGACCATTGAATTCATGGCAGTTTGTGTCTTAAACATCAAGCATAGTCTAACTGATTCACATTTATGAGGAGAATGTACATTAATTAGACAGGCAACAAATTATTAGGTGAAAAAGATACAAGTTTCAAGATCAAATTTCCTTTTTGAGTACATCACAGTGAATAAAAAAGCAGAGTTGCTTAGCTAACTGAACATAAAAGTATCTTTTAAGCACTGGTAGACTATTGTCAAGGATAACTCGAAAATATAGTTGCTTTGCAGCTACATTTAAGTATTTCAATTTGTCTCAGAAGTTTCATCCAACTAATTGGCGGGAATTATTGGTTTAACATTCTATCAAACTACCAAAATTGATCCATATAGTCTGCTTGAGCAACTATCCTGTGGATTGACCATGCTTATTAATGTCACTGATCAGTGATGGGTATAATTTCGTTGATCAGCTAATCACGAAACAGGACTAAAGGCTCACTCAGCAACAATGAGGACACGACTGGCTGAAAATTATCTCTTGCATGAACTTTTATGTATTTGCAGTTGTACCTGTTGACTTTTCCTGTAGAACATCAGAGTGTATTTCTTCCTTTTCAATTGATCCGAGCCATCTGCATTCTGAAAAGGCAGCTGATGAACTAACATGAGCGGAAATATGCATCAGGTGAAAAACTGCTCTCAAAATTGAGGAAGACATCATCATTGGGTAACTGCCTGTGTCAAAGAGCTAGGGGCCAAGTCAATTGAGAATAAACAAAGAATTACATTGGTTACCTGTGAATATCATCATCATTATTTGCATGACTTAAATGTTCATGCGTTAGATCAGAGGCCGTTTGCTCTGCATCAGATGAATCGTCAGCACCCTCATGGACTGCAACATCAGATCCACTTGAGCTGCCAAGTGTTTTGAGGCCACTCTTTTTTGTTGTGTTATTTTTGATGCTATGACCTTCACTATCAGAGTCACTGCTTACAGTCATCTGTCTCTGTTGAGTCCATCCAGACTCTGAAAGAGTGAGAAAAAAATAAATCCATCTCAACAATAAGTATATACACACATTTAAATTTCATCAAAACAATTTTTTTGGAACCAAAATCAATTTCGAGTTATTCTAAAACGAAAATATTTCTGTTCCAGTTCCAGGATTAAAGTAAAAAATGCGATAGAAACCCAATTTGGACAAAAAGGAACTCGGTTTAATGATCGTACTTTCAAATGATACAACCTGCTGCATTTTAGAGATTAGTTGCGTGAATTAAGCACCGTCAGGGCTATACAGGATGTCCTGGACCACCCATACCAGGCTTTTTTCTCAGTTTTTTTAGGTGGTAGGAAGACAGGGGCTGCGGGGATGAAAGGGGAATTGACCCCAAGGAACCAGAATTTCATTATCCCCCCCCCCCAACCTCCTTCGGGAGAAAGGGGGCTCGCGATCCTAAAAGTCGAGGTTCCTGACCGAATACAATTAAATTTTATCAGAATTGAAAAGTATGGAAAATTTCCTAAAAATTGGGCCATCTCAGGCCCAAAAATGAGCTCCTAGAGAGGGAGCAAAACAACTCCCCCTCCATAATTTCTCTTTGGTAGCAAGATTCTTCAGAAAAAGCTGCTTCATGATGTTATCGACCCCACGAAACCCGAATTTCCCAGTCCCGAAGCCCTCCTTGTTTCCCTTGGGGGGGGGGGGNNNGGGGGGGGGCTCAATTCTAAAAATTAGGGTTTTTTTCCAAATCGCAAGTTGATTGCATCCAAATTGAAGTGCACAACAGATTCAAACCTTAACTGACCCCAAAGAGTACAAATTGACCCACTCAAGCACAAAAGTAACTCCCTAAGGAGAGGACAGAGCCCCCTTCGAAAATTGCTCATTAGTCGCAATATTGACGTAAATGGAGAGGTTGCATGTGTGAGGGATTTACGATTTGACCATTGATTCTTATGTAGAAGTTCGCAAGAAACACGATGGTGCCACTGGTTTTCTCTGAAATCAACTCCCAAGCTCAAAAAAAGCTCTCAAAGTGAAGCTAAAATGGAGGGGATATCCCACCCTACCCTGAGAGTCCACTTCTACATCAAAATAAACTCTCCATGCAAAGATAGGGAGCAAATACATTAGCAGGGTTGCCACTTTATTTGGGGACTCCAAAACTGAAAACACGGCATCACTGCTAATCTATTTGCTCCCTATCTTTGCATGGAGAGTTTGTTTTGATGTAGAGGTGGACAGGGTAGGGTGGGATATCCCCTCCATTTTAGCTTCACTTTGAGAGCTTTTTTTGAGCTTGGGAGATAATTTCAGAGAAAACCAGTGGCACCATCGTGTTTCTCGCGATCTTCTACAAAAGAACCAATGGTCAAATCGCAAATCCCTCACACATGCAACATCTCCATTCTACAGGAAAAAGTGGCATACCAGCACGGTTCGTTTAAACCAATGTTAAATGAGAAACTCCGTTACCATCGATTGTCCTTCGGAACTGTAAAGTAGGATGTGAACACGATAATTTAAGCCCTAAACGAAAATATTCGGTTGAGCTTCTGGAAAATAAAATCGATTTGAAGGTTTGTAGCCCTGAATTGGCTGAAAATTGCTGATTTTGGGGCAGATATCCCATTAGCATAATGAGGCAATGTGGTTTTTGATGTTTCAGAGTCGGGAGAGGGTGCACAAAAATTTGTAAGCCACCCCTCCCCCAAAGAAACACTCAGGACTCCCTGCGCCCCCCCCCACCAATGCAAAAGCCCTACAAATGCGCTCAAATCGATGAGCATGCCTGTGGGCCCCACTCTGGGTTCCCTTTGGTACGAAAGGAGGATAGGATCCTAGAGAAAGAGAGGGTTTGGGGGAAGGGGACAGGAGCTCCCTAAAATATAAGCCTTTACATCTGTCCCCAATATTGCATACCCTCCCCGGCGGAGCAGCGTTTGCGCACGTAGGCTTATCTGATTTCACACAGTGGCTTAGGTGCGCGCATAGTATCTCTCTCACAATCCAAAAATACTACGTGTGAGAGACTTTCCCAACTTTCTAACCTTTCTTCTTTCTATGAAGCAGAAAATATTATAAAGCTTTATATGTACTGCCTTGGCTTTTACACTTGCTTGATATTATTCTGTGTATTTCTGCATATTTTTTCTTCAGTTATGCTTCTTATGTGCTTACTTGCTTTTGGTCCATACTTGTTTTGATGAATTCTTTGCTCTTGCATTTAATGCTTCATCATGAACATTTGAATACAGCAAAATCTATTCTTCTTTAAAAAGGCTACTTTTCCTTGATTATTTTAAATACTCCTTCAATAGTCTATCATAAAATATAAGAACGTCCTTGGAGAGGCCACATTTTAACCTTTAAGTACAGGAAATGTAACTCCGCCTGGAGGCGAGTCGTTTTTCTCTAGCTGGTCCCAAGCTCAGGAAAAGGAGGGTTGTGCGTAGGGCTAGCAACCCTACTATATCAAAACACCCAAGCTGCGAAAACATAGACGAAGCCTCGGTACCCAGACAACTTACGGATAAAGTGACCTAAAGAGAATGGATCACAGAAAAAAACCAAGGACATCATTTTAGCCACATGGAATGTAAGAAGCATGAGGAAAGTAGGAAAAATGATGGAAGTAGCCAAAGAAATGCAGACATGTGCCATTGACGTCATGGCTGTTTAAGAAATCAGATGGCGAGGAGAAGGAAGAATGGACAAGAGAGAATTCAGCATGATATACAATGGGACTGTTGGCGCCGATTTTCATCGTACTTTTTCGCTATATTTGTCGCTACAAGTCGGGCTTGCAGGATAGCAGGGGGAGAAAGCCCCGAGGCGGCTGATCGGCCAATTAGAGCTGATTAGAGATTGTCCCCTACTTTCCCAGCGAGCCATTTCAGACTTCAGCTCGCGACGCCTCACATACGCCGAGAACGTCGCCACGCGTCGTGATTTTTCGTCGCCTCAGCTGTATCTTCTCCTGCTGCTGCCTTTGGAAATCGCTGCTCTTGCCGCCGTTACCGTCGCTCGTATCGCTGCTTGCTTTCTCCATCGCTCTTGGTAAAACAAGCTTGCTTATTTAGTTTTTTCCTGCCTTAGTTATGATGGTATGAATAAGAGTGTGCATGTCGCCCAACCGCACCCTTGCCCTTTTATCAACGCTCCTTTTCCCTCATATGACCGCATTTTTGATCCCTTACGCCCCCGCTTGTGAGCTATTACCATGCTAGGCTAGATTTCTAGCATACGCGAGTGAGATGGCGCCAGGTTTCGCCCGTGACGTCGAGAGCATGCCGCTTCAGCGCCGCATGGCTGTACCAGACTGAGGACTTCGGTGAGTGCGTAGAGTGCTTATTTTTACCATATTCTCATAGTGCATTTTCTCTCTGTCATGCAGATTTATCCCCATTTTCTCTCTTTATGGACTGGCCGCTTTGAGTTCGACGGGTTCCATCCATGCGCTATCTATGATAGGCCGGAGCTCGTCGTTCCGAGGTTGCCAGATCGCTTCGCCCTACTCTTCTTTCCTCTGTCCTATTCCTTTCTCTTTTCTATTGTAGTCCAGGCGCCTGGTAAGTCTACCTGGAATTTTGGGTACACAGCGATTTTTTTGGCCTACTTTATGTTTTTTGGGTCGCTAAATCCGAATCTGAAGTTTCCGCACGCGTATCTGGTGAGCATTTTCCGCTATTTTGAAAAAATGGCCTAAAAAGGCCTTTTTTTGCGGTTTTTTTGATATAGCGGCTACGGATGAGGAAAAGTCCCGGATTTAGCTAATGTTTTGAATAGCTGACAAAATTTGGAAGAAAATAGTATACGAATATGCTAGGTTTGCTCAAAAATTGAGGAACCTCGGATCTCGGAACTTTGGAACGCTTCGGAACTTAGCTGACCGCGGCGAGCCGGATCACGCGTTAACGGGTGCGCCGCGAAAACGTGAAT